ACTTCTAAACTAATAATTCTTGATACTGTGCCAAATTATTTATGAAGCTAAGAATTTATTATTATTTTTATTTGAATCTTAGATTATCTCCCTGGATTATAACCTGAATGGTGTAGTCTTTCCTGACCCTTCAGGAGACTCATATATAATGATAGCAACATTTTCCATGTTGGCTTTTGACGGTTTTATCTACTTGATTTTGGCATTATATTTTGACAAAATCTTACCCTGTAAGTACTAGCACATTTTTCTCTGATCTTTACAGTTATTAATTACACTGAAGAGTTTTTCTTAAGATTATTATATTAATATAGTGTCAGAGCTGATAATACATATTTCTAATCTCAGTACAGATTAGTTTATTTATACTTTATGTCAAATTATTTTGATTTCAAAATAATAACATATAATAATGAAATAAGTCCATTAAAAAATATAATTATAGATTAAGTAATACTGCAGTTTCAAGTATCCCTGAAAGTGTTTTGAAAGAGTGACAGTGAAGATTTGTATCACACTAGTTGGGAAGAAGATGGGACTTAATAATTATGGCCAGGGGAAGCAGAGAGGGAATGGTAGAGAAATGTGATCACTGATCGTAATATACAAGTAAGAAACAATCAAAAAGTCAAAAGCATTCCAGGCAAAATCTGAAAGAAATTTAGTTCTTGCCATGTTATGGCTGTTGCTGGGCCACTAGGCTGCAAAACCACTTTCTGATAAATATTTTTTAAGTACGCTCAACATTTTTCTCATTTTGTTTATACTTAAAATGTGTGTCAATTATCCAATTAATTTTGTTTATCTTGCCAGTAACCCCCCAAATTCACATAGGCCCAGAATTCCTTCACATGTTTTATCATCAGAATGTTCTCTTGTGTTCAGGATTTTAGTCATTCTCTTATTTTTTATTGCTCTCTCACTGTGACTGTAGTTAGTGCTTTATTCCATGCTTCTGGACACTTATTTGTATGTCTACTTATGGTCTATTATTTCTTGTTTATATCCAAATATCCTTAATAACAAATAATACTTAGTAAATTATTTTATTTTTTTTGTCTTTTTGAGACATGGTCTCTCTGTCGCTATAACTGGCCTGGGCCTGCCTATAGAGACCAGGCTGGCCTTGATCTCACAGACATCTACCCACCTCTGCTTCCCGAGTGCTGGGATTAAAGGTGTGTACCACCACGCCTGGAAATAATTCATAACTTTATAATCAGAAAATGTTTATAATATGATCATATTCAGCTTGAACAAATATAATTTCTCCATGTAGTTTTCATTCATGTACCTGTATGTTACTATGTAGATTTCAGTATTATGTTCAGGTGTATTGGCATAGTTAAATTATTTAAATTTATAAATATGTCTATAATTATGTTATGTGTCATTAATATCTGTGTTTTCTGAAACATTTTATTTCACTCAATCTCATAGATGTCTTTTAGACTGTATTCCATTCAACCATTTGATTTATAGTTTGTTAAAAATTCTATATTGATTTTTGCAATTTTATTTCCTTTGAATTTTCATTGTTTACCTCTTGATCAGTCTTCTTCGGAATAATAGGAAATTCAAAGGAAAAGAATTTTTGTAGCATGTTTAAAAGCTCAAAACATTTCATTTTATTCTGAGCAAGGTTTCTTTCCTTATTATGCTAATATTACTGATCTGGTATTTTTGTTGCTATTGATTAACTAGATGGGAATGAGCATCACAGTTCTCCACTATTTTTCTTGAGTTCATCATTTTGGTTTCCACATCAAAGGACTAACAGTAATAAGGTCATTGAGAAAGGCATAGATCTCGAGCTTCCTTCTGATGAAGATTTTGAGCCCATAGCTCCTGAATTACAAGGAAAAGAAGCTATCAGGTAAATTCGTTTATAGTTTGTACTGATTACACGTCCAAGGCCAAAGAATTGTTAACCAACAGCTATCTAGTGAGTGTGCAGCAAAATGTTGAAAGGGAAGGAATTTGTCATCATCAACATCATTTTTAAGCATTTCAGTTCAGCTGTCACCAGCAATTTCTCCTAGCGGCTTCTTTAAAGGAAAACTCCCTTTGATCACTTCGTGTATATAGCCATTGTGTGTGCCTTCCCCTTCTGTGTTTTGGGTTTGTTTGTATTCCATCTTTTGTTGTTTTGCTTTTATTTTTTTGAGACAGGGTCTCATATAGCTCAGACTGGCCTCATACTATGTATGTAGCTAAAGATGACTTTGAACTCCTGAGCCTCTTGCTTCCACCTCCCAAGCGTTGAGAATACAGGCATGTGACTTCACCTGCCTGAAAGTCCTTTTAAGACAGGGAGATTTGGGTGTATAGAAGTCACATACAAAGAATGTCGTGTGAGAGAGTACAGGAAGAAGTTTAAATATTCTAGAAAGCCAACAGAAGGCCTGCCCCCAAAGTAAATGATTTTCTTCATCTCTAAAAATATGAAAAATTCAGTTCCTCTTAAATGGGAGTTTCTTTATTAAAATAAATATTAGGAATGGGAGAGATGATTCACTGCTTAAGAGCACTAGCTACTCTTGCAGAAGACTTGGGTTTGGTTCCCAACACCCACATGGTGGCTTACAATCACCTATAACTCCAGTTCCAGATTCTCCTATGCCCGCTCTTGGATTCCACGGGCTTGTATGTCGCAGATGCACTCACATGAAGGCAAAACACTCATACATATAAAAATTAATTTAAAAATATTAAAAGCAACTTCAAAGGATATCTAAATCCAATGGGCATCCCACTGTGCAAAGAAAGGCTGAAATAAAATTACGTACCAGATTTAGTATGTTTTACTCTTCTTATTTACCAAACAGGCATATTGTATTTGTTGTGTAACTATAAATCAAAAGCATAGAGGCAGGGTGAGGATGATGCTGAAGTCTAGAGAATCTCATCTGTCTTCTATCTAGAGGAAATGATTGGTTGAAAAATAAGCCTTTGTCTTTCTGAAGTGTCAATTACATCATCTTTTGTACCATACAGCAAGGCCTTTCAATCTGCTGCTTATATCTGTCTGTGCTGTTTACTGTATGTACTGGCTAAGTTAGAACCCCTTTCTTGTTTCAGAGTAAGAAATGTTAAAAAAGAATACAAAGGAGAGTCTGGAAGAGTGGAAGCCTTGAAAGGTAAAGAAAAATATTCCATTACTTTTGACTATATTATTAATACCCCAATATGGATAATATTCAATATGATAGTTTAAGTGCAGAGACACAGAAAGTGAAGGAAGTAAGAATGTATGTACCTAACCCTATCACCTGGCCATTAGTAAGCATTTAGAATTTACCGTAAAGTCCTTCCAGGTATTTCATGGATCTATTAATTTACAAAAACGTGATCAAACAATGAAAAATGCAGTTTCAGTTTGTTTTTAATATGATTGTTATAAACACATTTCTGCAGTGTATTGTGAGGTAAAAGCACTGGAGTTGGATAAAATTTTTAGAGAGGGAATTTATACAATTTATATGCATCAGTGAAAACGCTGCCTGAAACAGGTTGAGTGAAACTTTGACAATGATTTAAACTCAGAAATTAATATTCTATAAAAATGTTTTTAATTTTGAATGGATAAATGTATTTTAATACTAAGTATTCTAACAGCTATAGTTTCATAAAGCAAATATTTAATTAAACATCAATCAACAACTTCATTTTCTGGATGTTCAGTTGCTTTTATTAAAAATAATTTTTAAAAGGCATAGTTATGATTTTTACAAAAGACAGAAAACTTAAAGCTATATATGATGAATTACCAACCCTTCTTAAGATTGACAGTCCTCTGTCCATTGTGTTTACATTGTCTGTATTTTCTAACAGTTGGAGAACCTCCTAGCTCAATATTGCTTATTCTTTTGAGATTAAGGATTCTGCCTTGGGGCATTTTTCATCAAATATCATTCATGTCTGTAATTTTATTCTTTCATTTTGCCTTGGAATATGTTGAGGTGTTTTAAATTTTATAATTTAAATTTCCGGAACACATTCTGGACTACCTTTGCACTCATCAGTAATTACAAACTTCTCATGTTTAACCATCTTCAATTTCTTCAAGGATTTCTTCCATTTTTAGAATTAGTGGCACTTAAAAAAATTTAAGACATTGGGCATCAATACATTAAAAAATATACCAACATTCCAGTTGGAGTTGCTTCATAGGGCATTGCTCCTGGGAGGTAAGGGCAGGAGTGCACGGTCTTGGCCTTCTGCTTGTGTAGCTAATCCTTGTGATGACTGGATCATCTTTGAGAACTTGCTTTTAACCCCTGTGAATTAATAGCATTCCATTCTCTGAGTAGGATGATGAGCTCAGCTAACACACTGGTGTGTGATAGTTAGTCTACGTCTAAGTTTTCAGTGTCACAGAACTATGAGAATGAATATTCATAGTCATTCTTCAGAAAGGTCACCGTTTCCTGAAGATAAGTTTATGAAGCAGAATCATTAAAAAGATCCGTATTTGAAAGATTCTTGATTCAAATCGTTTCAAATCGTTTATTTCTAAAATTGTCAAATCCATACATATAAGCAATACATGGTTAAAGTGACAACAGCAGTAATGACTACTTGAGGTACATTGAGGATTTGGTGCATATGGAATTATGCTAAGTGATTTACATGAAAAGCTTCATATTTAATTTTGAGAAAATCATATTAATATCCTTCACTTTGCAGATGAGAAAATGAGGTTGATATTTAATTTTTGCTGTGATAAGGATCAATTTCAGGGTCATCGATGCCACATTTCTCTTGAAAACACTATGTATTTAAAAACAGCAAACATAAATTGCTAATATACTTTTTAGTCATGCCAACATTGTTTATTAAATCATTATTTTGATGAATTTGAAAAGTTAATTTATTAGTCTTTATTTTTATAGTTATTTTGTCCTATTTCAGACTTCTACCAGACTCTGAATCCTGAACCAGTACCGTATTGTTGTATGTGTTTTACTGGTTTCTGTATCAGTAGCGTTATTTAAGTTACATAGTTCTTCAGTGCGTTATTTTGGCATTTAGGAAAACGTTCAATAGTATGTAAAGTATTGAAATGTTTGATAAATTCAACATGAAATTCAATTGCCTTGTTCTATGTTTATGACCAGCTCTAATACCCTCATGTTAAAAATGCTAATATCTTATTCTAAAACCAGGTTTGTTCTTTGACATATATGAAAGTCAAATAACAGCAATCCTGGGTCACAGTGGAGCAGGCAAATCTTCATTACTAAACACCCTCAGTGGGTTATCTGTACCAACAGCAGGTGAGCAAAAAGAAATATCTCGATGACAAAATATCTGATAATAAAACAAAGTCAAATATATGCTGCTCTTGTTTAAAATTCTGTAACTTGGCAGATGCAATGCTTATCTAAAGTTGCTCTGTAGAACGGTATGATTTTGAATGTACTTTCTGTTTCCTATGTTATTGCAGAGGGAATGTGCATCGTGTGAGCATGTATTTATGCTAAGAATAGTAATTGTTAATAAACTGACAAGTTATTATTTTAGATATTTATGAGCATATTATCTTGAATAAGACCCTCAAATATAAATGTATTATTTTGCTAACTTAAATCATTTCACTTTTATATTTTAGGGTTAGTCACCATCTATAATAAAAATCTCTCTGAAATACAAGACTTGAAAGAAATCAGAAAGATAACTGGTGTTTGTCCTCAACATAATATTCAATTTGACACTCTCACTGTGAAGGAAAATCTTGTCCTGTTTGCTAAAATAAAAGGAATTCATCCACAGGAAGTAGAACAAGAGGTAGATGGATGTGCTTGGAGTAGTTTGACTTGCACTATTTACCAAGTTAGATCATGAGCACAGAATTCTCTTCAGCAATCTATCTGCCTTCTTGTGAATAGAATTTAGGTGAAGAGAGCCTGTAAAAATATGCTACCTTAATAGACAGCTAAAACTGTAAAATATGGATCATTTTGTATTTGGGGTTTTGTGTATTTCTTATATAGGTACAACAAATTTTATTGGAACTGGACATGCACAATATTCAGGATAAGCTTGCTGGACATTTAAGTGAAGGACAGAAAAGAAAGCTGACCTTTGGGATTGCCATTTTAGGAGATCCTCAGGTAAGTAAGATCAAATGTGGGACAGAAAAGAGATTATCATTAAAAGTCATGTTCTCTTACTACTAGTGGTGGCAAAGCTTTCATTTTAGTGTGTTACGACAGAACTTGTTGTTTCCTTAATGCATAGACATAACGTAAACAGTCATTGCTTGTTCGTTTTTACTTATTTCCTTATTATCACATGGAAATCATGAACATGGAAGAGACATATTTTGTGTGTCTTTGTCCTCCATAGATTTTGCTCTTAGATGAACCTACTGTTGGACTGGATCCCTTTTCAAGGCAGCGAGTGTGGAGTTTCCTGAAGGAACGTAGAGCAAATCGTGTGATCCTCCTAAGTACTCAGTTCCTGGATGAGGCAGACATCCTTGCTGGTAATTGTTGATTTTATTTCAGTGTTATGATGAAAACTTTGGGCGATCTCTATGCGATGTTTATTGCTAGGGTAAGGACACTGCTCTCATTCTCTTGACTCCAAACCAGCCCAGAGGATGACAGGAATCTTGTCCCATTGTGAGTTCCTCATTGACTGTACGGTTGTAGGTTGTGACCTGTAATGAAAACCGTGATGACTTTTTTCAAGTTGTCTCTATGTTCACTTAGACATTCAAATTTCCTTTTATATATGTTTACTTGAAAACTATTTTCCCATTCTTTAGTAACCAGATAAAGAATATGCTCACATACAGTTTGTAGTGGTTTACTGTTTTTCTTTTCTGGAAGTGTATGTGGATGCTTAAAAAATTGGTGAGCTCAAAATACACAAATTTTAACGTGTGTTTAAACCTTTTAAAGTGTGCAATAGGTACAGTTAGGCCTCATAGAATACTTCTCCTTTGGAATGCTGAAATTTAATTTATCACTTGTATTTTCGAGGGAGAGAAGAAATGGCTGATTGATAATATTCTTTCACATTTAATTCTTTTTACTCAGATAGAAAAATGATCATGTCCAATGGGAGTCTGAAATGTGCAGGCTCTTCAGCCTTTTTGAAGAGAAAATGGGGTCTTGGGTATCACTTAAGGTAAGGTGTTTTTGAGAAAAGACTGGATATATGTTTTTATTTTTTAAGATTTATTTTTATTTTACTTATATGTGTCTGTGTGTGTTTGCCACGTGTGTGGTGGTGCCCACTGAAGCCAGAAGAAGGTATTGAGTCCCTTGGAGCTGAAGTTACAGGTACATGTGTAGTGCATGATATGGTTCCTGAGAACAGAACTTGGCTCCTCTGGAAGAGCAGCAAGTGCTCTTAACTGCTGAGCCATCTCTCCAGCTATCTATCATCTCTCTATCTCTCTATCATCTATCTCTCTATCTCTCTATCATCTATCTATCATCTATCTATCTATCTATCTATCTATCTATCTATCATCTATCTATCTCTATTATCTACCAGTCTATCAATCATCTATCTGGACATATATGGGTTTGGGGGGTGATTTTTGTATATATGTTTTAACTGTGGTATATCAAGAGGGGACAGTTATGAAAGAGAATTGATTTAATGCATTATCTCTACCATAACGGATTGAAAACTATGTTCCAAATACTTTGTCTATTTCCATGACTCCTTGTATCAGTGCTAATGTTAATGATGAGCAAAATCTCAGCATTATGAATCACAGCTGTTTGTTCACTGTGGGAATACTTCGTGTGTCACGTCTGAAGTGACTGTTCTGTGGAACCTAAACTTTGACGTTTACATTCTCCTCTTAGCTCATCTAATGCACATAATACTGCAGCATTTTCAATCTTCATAAGGCTCCACAACAATATTTTCATAAACCTGTATCAGTTGGGAGTAAATGTGGTTCCAAGGAGTTGTGAGACTGTGTCTAACAAGAAACTCAATCGAGGCTAAAAATAATAATAATAAAAAACATTTAAAACACTGAAGGACATCTTGGTACAAATGCTTGACTGGATAGGACTTAACATATACAGTGGAGTACATAAGGTCTGCTGAGGGGCCGTGGACGGGGGAGGGCAGTCTACATTTGATTAAGGACTGTTGTATGACGTGTACAAAAGGCCAATAATTTTTTTTTTTAAAAAAGACAGAAACCCCGTGGAAAAACAAAACAGGAATATGGGCCAAATTTCTTTGTGGTCAATGTTTTCTGGTAGTATACTGTCAGGTAACCTGATTATTTTCCGTGTGAAGTCTCTTTTGTCTGATGTTATCACTCCCTCTGCTTATCTTCACACTGTGGACACAGAATGAACTACAAACTGGGTATTTGTATTGTTTGGACTGTTCACATTCTGTGTATAGCTGACAAGATTTTCAAACCGATGGATTATTATTATTTATTAATTTTGTCTGTTTCATAAAGCTGAGTAAAGTAAGAATCAGAGACTAAAACAACTCTTTCATGTGGTAGCAGTCCAAAATGCAATTGTCTTTTTCTTTTAAATATTAGTTTGTATAGGAATGAAACATGTGATTTAGAGCAAATAACTTCCTCCATCAACCATCACATCCCTGATGCTACATTAAAAACAAAAACCGAAGAAAAACTTGTGTATACTTTGCCATTGGAAAGAAGAAATCAATTTCCAGGTAACTTACATATGATTATAATGGAATAAAATTTGCGAACAGAAGTTTGAATTATATCATAATTTTCCTTTTGGAATGGATTTCAATTTTGTCTTAGTTTGAATTATCTAAACAGAACTTGACATGAAGATTTCAGTGTAATGCATTTCGCTGGTAATTTGTCCATGGAAGCCCCAGGAGGGGACGGAGACATGAGGGAGGGAAGGAAACTAGGAAAGTTTGTGTTGTAGAGCAGCTTACCATGGTCAGCAATTGAAGTAGAAGACCATTGTGGGGGGACTGAACAGTAAATAATATCCTCACCGCTGTACCACTGGAGAGATGAAGAAGGCACTTGCTCATTTTCTCTATCCATCATCAGTTAAGGGACACATCAGGAACGTTACCTTTCTGGCTCTTTTGGCTTGCTCTGAATGTAAACTTAGCACACTTCTAAGGCTAGTAAATGAATCTCATTCAGGTAGGTGCTTTTAGTAAGCAGACTTATTGTGTCTACGTGAGCACAGAGAAGATGAGGCTATGACAAAAGATCTCTGCCACGGGCTTCTTTTTATTTTGAATTATGCATGCATCTATTCTACAAGAAAAAAATAGCTTATTTATTTATCAGGGGCTCCCAGCCTGCTGTGCAGCAGCAGCAAGCGATGTCTTATTGATACATAACCCAAAAAAGCATGAACGGTATAAAGTATGTTCCAGACACTGTCCTCATTGTGTGTGTGTGTGTGTGTGTGTGTGTGTGTGTGTGTGTATCAGTGCAGTCCATTTAGTACTTAATTATTCTCTGAGGTGACTGCTATAATTTTCTGTTTTATAAATGAGGAAATATATTTTGATCTCCTCTGTTTTAAATAGATACCTTTATTTTAAACATTTTGTTTATTAATTATAGTTCTTTATAGGTCTATCTTAAATTTTTGGATTACTTTGTCTCATTGAGAAAATGCTCAGGGATTCAGATTTTAGCCTTATTTCCAAAAAGGATAATGCTCTTTATCCTTGTAGCAACATGGAAGATATTATTCTACTTTATATTATTTTGTCCTTAGACTAAGATAGCCTGAGGTTCAACTGGCATACCTTCTTGGTCAAGAAGGATGATAGGTCGTTATATGGTCGTACCCCTTACGCAGCACCTCTGGTGTTGATGTTTCAGCACACAGCAGGCCCTTTACACAGCAGGCCCTTCATTGATTTTTATTTTAAATGCATTGAGAATCTACTGAAGGACACTAGACAGGGAGTGGATATGATATTACTTATTTTTTCATTTTCTGAAGATGATGACCCTGGATGCAGAAGAACTAGAGTAGATCCTGAGACTAGTCATGGAGAAATGTCTGAGACTCATGTCTGGGCTATCATGGTGCCAGGAAGGATAGAAGAACATGGATATCTTTGAAGCGTATTTGGTTATAAAGCTCAAAGTTCTGTCTTATGGACTTGAAGATTTTTGGCGTGGATTACTGAGTAGAAAATGGTGGTATTTATTATTATAAAGTAGTATGTAGAGTAGTTAAGCCAGATGGAGAAGCATCAATTCTCATCTTATATGTTAATCTAGAGATATGTTTTGATTTCCTAAAAGAGTATTGTGTCCCTGTTCAGCATGGAAGAAGCCAGAGCGGTCTGTGTCCCTATCCCTATTGGCAATTTGGGTAACCCCTTCAGAGGATGGTGTGATAAGAATAGGAGGTAAGAATTGGCTAGGCAGTTAGGGTAAAAAGACCCCAAAGAAATGTAGCCAGTTTCTTGGCTAAAAGTCAAAATGTCCTTGGGCCTGTTAGCAACATACTCTGTTCCAAAGGCCAAAAATGTCAAAAGTATTTAGGAGCTTGTATCTAATCCTGAAAAGATTTTAGGGTTACCTCTTCAGAGGGGGGAATGTTGGAGGGGAGGGAGTGGGCATGAATTTGATCAAAACACCTTATCTATATGTATGAAATTCTTAATAAAGTTTTTGTAAAAGTAAAAAAAAAAGAGTTTTAGTATGTAGTTACATGTAAGACATTAGAAATTAAGGCATAAAATGAGATAGGAATTTAGGAACTAGATTTGTATGTGGGTGGAGAGAGAAGGTGGTCTAGGGCTGAGACTCTGGGAGAAGGTAAAGAAGTCTAAAGAATATAGAAATTGAGAGCTCTTGATGCAGGTGGAGGAAAAATGAGATAACTAGATTAGAAAGCCTTTTTTCTGAGCTATATTCTTATCCCAGTTGACCTGCTTTGTTAGAAACTGAAAGGAAAAGGAAGGAAGGAAGGAAGGAAGGAAGGAAGGAGGGAGGGAGGGAGATGTGAAGGAAAGGAAGGAAGGAAGGAAGGAAGAAAGAAAGAAAGAAAGAAAGAAAGAAAGAAAGAAAGAAAGAAAGAAAGAAAGAAAGAAAGAACCAGGGGAAAGAAGACCACAGGCAGGGGAGAGACCAGCTTAATGAGAGTTAGAGGGAGGAGGGACGGCTGCAATCCAGGAGAGGTTGGAGGGAGGAGGGAGCTGTGGGGTAAATGTAATCGAAATAAATTGGGTGCATGTATAAAATTATCAAAGAATAAATAGAAACATTCTATTCAAAAATAGTAACAGAGAGGTGGAGACTTATTCATTGAATTGAAATATTAAGGCCTTGGTGACCTTGAAGAAAGCAGTTTTGGGAGGCATACAGAAGGACTTGTAGTGGTTGTAAGATGTGACAAATTCAAAATGGACAAATCTTTGGAGCCATACGTGTATGTGGAGGGGGATGGAATGAGGCAATTTTGTTTTGCTGCTTGTCTTTGTTTAATGGGCATTACAGCATCCTGCCTGCTGTTTGGAATGGCTCAGCCTATGTAGAAGAAAATGATGATGGAGGAGATTGCTTTGGGAAGCCCTTGAACTGCTGAAGGGGCTGAAACTAAGGACATAAGTGATAAAGACTTTGATAGGAGCAGTTGCAAGTCTTACACATACACAAAAGGAAGTCCCAGAGTGTGGGCAAAGGTTTACATGGGTTGGTAATGTAGAGGTGAAAAGATGATGATCTTTTATGATTACTCATTTTTCCTCAGAGAAGTCTGTAGGAAAATGATAGTTTAAGAATACAAGATAGGGGCTGGAGCAATGGCTCAGCGGTTAAGAACACTGGTTGTTCTTGCAGAAGACCTGGGTTCGGATCCCAGCACCCACATGGCAGCTAACAACTGTCCATAACTCCAGTCCCAGGGGATCCAGCAGTCTCTT